GAGTTCCGAACCAATGAAGACAAGGGAGGCAGATGGAGATCGAATCCCCAGATCTGCCACCAGGGAGGCTGGGTGGAAAATTGGTCCTTGTTTGGGCTGCAGCCTCCCAGGAAAGAATGCTTTTCACGTAGTGCAGGTTCATAGTCAATACTGCCACCTTATTCTAGCCTAGGCGCCCAGCCACATGCCTAGGCAAAGAAGGCCACATCCTGGGGTGATCTCAGGGGCGGTGGCAAAGCTTAGACGTCCTTTCCTGCTCTTCCCCAGCCCATCGTAAACTACCTGATTGGTGTCTGAAACCCCACAGCTAAAACTTCATTCCTGGAGCCCAAGACATTGTGGCTCATGAAAGTGTAATCTCCTATTCAAAGTCATTGTCTTAAGAGGCCATGGTGAAATGGAAAGGCTGGACCTGGATCTCCCGAATACTCTGCCCAGTGAAATAGAGTGGTGGGGCTTAAACTCTCCTATTTAGAGTCATTGTCTTAAGGGGCCATGGCGAAATGAAAGGCTGGACTTGGATCCCCCAAATACTCTGACCCGGTGGAATAGAGCTGCAGGGCTCAAACGAATCCGGTTATCTCTTTGCACCTCAGCTTCCTTACCCTGCGGTCTCCAAGAGGGCTGAGGCTTGACGAGGAGTTATCCTCACCATCTGTGACTCGCTTTGGGCTCAAGGCTTCCTGATGAATGGAAGCTGCTGGAGGAATCCCATGGCACTAATAAGGCCTGTGCTCCTGATAGATGTGGCAGGAACATGCACAGCCTGGGGTTGATCTTGTCTTGTCTGGATCCCTGCCACTTTTGTGTCATCTTGATCCCTGCCACTCTTATGTTGTCTTATCCCTGCCGCCACCCTGGGAGGGTTGCGGGCCAGTGACGCCCCCACCTGACAGGTGGACAGGCCCAGAGAAGTTGACCGACTTGCCCAAGGCCACACATGAAGACCAGGGCCAAGAACCAAGTCCTCCATGTTCTCATGACACTGTGGCTTACTCATTGGAATCCCTAGAACCCTAGTGTTCCCAGTGGTATCTCGGAGGCAGAGAGAAGGGGACAAGCAAGAGGTAGCCACACTGCCCACTCTTAGCAGTCTTTCATAACCTGGGGCAAGATCTCTTTGGAAGAAAGAGGCTCCACTGGGGAAAATGATTTTAAAATTGCTGCCCTAAGTCCTTCCTTTTGAGCTTGAAAGGGAGAGATTTGGGAGCAGCCCCAGGCCAGGCATTTCCTGCCGCATCAGTCAGGGTCACAGGCCTTATCAGTGCCGTGGGATTCCTCCAGCAACTGCCATGGACTGAAAAGTACCATGGCAGCCTGGATTCTTTCTCTCACCTGATCCTGACTTGGTTCCATCTGTGTCTTCCATTTCCCCATCACATGAAGGGAGAATGAGCATCAGACCTGGGGGTTATACAGACCTGGCGATCAGTGAGTCACTGGAATCATGTTTGATCTCATGGAGGACCCCTGTAGAACGGGAATCACGTGTACACAGTCTTACTGGCGTTTACAGCTTTTCCCGCGTTGATTCTTGTTCTGAACACCTTCATCCCTGCTTTCCCGTGTCAGCGTTTTTTCACGATGCTCTAGGTGGGAGAGGCTGGGCAGCCTCACCAGCCCACAGCGTCTCTGGGACTGGGATCTTGGAAATGAACTGACTCTCAGCTTGGCAGAGAGGCAGGAGCTGGGCGTGCGGTGAGAGGGACGCCCCGGCGTGCGGTGAGAGGGACGCCCCGGCGTGCGGTGAGAGGGACGCCCCGGCGTGCGGTGAGAGGGACGCCCCGGCGTGCGGTGAGAGGGACGCTCTGTCCCGCTCTACTTGTTGCCGCCACACTCGAGAACCCAAAACCGCAGCAGGCACGCTTTGGCTCTTTGCTGAGGGTGTCTAGGGAATTGTGCTACTGAAAGGCATCAGACAGCCCAGCAGTGTCATTAGGAGGGTGGGTGTTTGTCTCCCAGAAGGGAGGGGTTTTGCCTGGTCCTAACTGAAGGACAGAGAAATGTCTTTTTTGTCACTGTAGAGGCCCCGTGTGTACAGAAGCTCAGGAGGTCCCTTTTGAGTTGAGTCTCCTGAGATTGTGAGGCAGGCGTGACTGGGCATTGTCACCTTCAGGGCTCAGTGCATGGTGCTGGCATTGCTCGGGTTTCCATGTCTGCACGAGTCACCCAGGATGCCCCTCCACAAACCCCTGGGCCCCGTCTTCTCTGGTGAGGAGGGGACTGGAGGGTGCAAGGACAGACAGAAGGTAGTGGGTGCATCTGGGCTGGGCGAGGCCTGCTTTTTCCAGGGCCTTCTCTTGGCCTGGGGAGTCAGTCATTGGTGCGAATATCATCACCAGGGAAGTGAGGTGTTTGAGGGAGGGACCAGCCAGGCTGATGGAGGTGAAAGGTCAGCAGCATCACCACTGACCACAGCTGTGAGATATGCACCATTTTCTTGCCCCTGGGCCTGAAGCTGGGGGCCAGAAAGGTGGATCTGCCCCAGAGCCTGCCCTGGGAGAGTGCTGTCCTGGGAGCATCCTAACCCGGGCACACCCGAGACCTCACAGAAATACAGGGACCTGGCTATCGGGAGCTGCAGAGGCTGGGCTTTCCTTCAGCTGAAGGGGGTGGTCAGAGAGCTTCCTGGGATGGTGGGATCCATCTGGGCCCTGAAGGAGGCTGGGGTGACAGCATTACAGGCACAAGCAACAGAATCGACACAAGTGTGGAGATGGGACACCCCTTGTGTGCAGAAGCAGCACTGGCAATGCCAGAGCCCAGGGGTTCGGGGAAGCAGCTGGAAGCAGATAAGGGCAGGGCGCCTGGCTCCAAGGCCTGCAGAGGAGTCGGATGTCACCCTGGGCCAGAGGAGATGCTGTTCTCTGTGGGCACTGCAAGCACAGGCTCCTAGCCAAGTGGCTGGGGTTCTGATCCCAGCTCTGCCTCCAGCTTGCCGGGAGAACTCAGGCAAGGCGCTCATCTGGACGATAGGGATAAAATGGTAGTATTTTATCTGGATCACCCTATTCTATCTGGATCCACCATGCAGACAGAATGAGAAATGGGAAGGCCTCCAGGTACAAAGCACTTGTCTAATCTACTACCTTTGTTACTGTTATCATTCATTCATTCAGTGATTCACTGAGCTCTGACCATGTGCCAGGCGCTGTCCTAGTCCCTGGGGGCACAGCAGCAGGCAGCACAGACACCATCCCTGCCCTCATGTTGCTTACAGCCTACATTCCAGTGGGGACATACAGACAGAAAATCAGAGCATGGGGCCATGGCGTGGCTGCCTGCTGGGCAGGCACAGAAGCCACAGGCCCCAGGGAAGGAGGGCTTCAGGTGAAGGTGGCTGCCGTCCCAGAGGCTGGCCTCAGGGTTGACCTGGCAGCAGCTGTGGAGGATAGGCTTGTGGCCGGGACAGGAGGCAGGGAGGGGAGGCTCTGCATGGTCAAGGTGGCTTCCAGAGTGGGCTCCAGGAGATGGCACGGTAAGGTGCACAAGGAAAATAGTAAATCTTTCTTTTATTGAGACAGAGTCTCGCTCTGTCACCCAGGCTGGAGTGCAGTGGTATGATCTTGGCTCATTGCAATCACCACCTTTCAGGTTCAAGCGATTCTCCTGCCTCAGCCTCCCTAGTAGTTGAGATTACAGGCGGGCAACACCACAACCAGCTAATTTTTTGTATTTTTGGTAGAGATGGAGTTTCACCATGTCGGCCAGGCTGGTCTCGAACTCCTGACCTCAAGCTATCTGCCCGCCTCAGCCTTCCAAAGTGCTAGGATTACATGCACGAGCCATGGCACCCGGCCTAAACTTTCTTTTTTTGTCATTTTCTTTTAACATTTCTATTTCATGTGCTGTTGTGGACTATATGACATGTAATGTATTAATTCATACAAACATGCACATAACTGGGAGACGGGGTAAAAACCTCTTTTACTGTGCGGTACGCAAGTGGTCAAGGCAGGAGTGCTGAGGAAGGATCTGGCAGCAGGTGGGAGAAGGGGTCCGTGAGCCCCGGCAGAGCAGGGCAGCCCCTGCGTGAGGCTCTGGGCTGCAGACTTGACCAGGTGGCCCTGCTGGCCCTGGAGAGGGTGGGGGGGTGGGGGGTAGTGACTCAGAGGCCTCTGAAACCTCAGGCCCAGCTGACTAGAAAGATGGTGGTGCCTCAGCTGGCAAGACCTCGGGAGAAGAGGCCCTAGGGTCCAGGTGAGGTGTTTCCCCTGGATATTCAACAAGTGTTACCTGGGAGGCAGGAGGCAGCCCTCGGAAACACTGGAAGGCTCTCCCGGGAGGCCAGGGCTGCAGAGTGGTTTGGCTCCACATGGAGGTGAGAGAGTTGAGGCCTGGGGTCAGTGGGAGGGTCATTAACTGCTTGTTTGAAAAGTGACAGCTTGGTTTGTCAAAGGGTGTTGTCACTGTGATACAGATAAGAGTTTACAGGGTGCGCCAGCTTTCCCTGGTCCTTTTCCTCAGGTCAGGTCTGGCGGGGCAACCATCTTGCATCATGCCTATGAGCATGAAAGCCGAGGCCTGCAGCCCCACCACGCTTCTTAGCATCAGGAGAGTAGGTCAGAGGGCAGAGCCATGGCCCTCTGAGGGTCTGTGGTCCTCTGGTCTGCTTGTCCCAGTGTTCATTCTGGCCCTTTCTCTATGGCGGTCAGAGCCAAGGGTAGGCTGGGCCAGCCTCTGTCCAGACACTGAGGAGCCCCAGGTGGGCCCTGAGGGTGGGTTTCCTCAGAGATCGGGGCAGGGACCAGGCAGGCCTCACTGCCCTCTGTCTGGTGGTGACCTACGCCTGCCCTGCAAGGCCCGCAGCTGAGGGACTCCAGTCCCTGTGTAGGCATGGGCAGGAGGAGCTGTTGGCGGCAGCCATTTCTACTCGGGGCAGGGATCAGCTGGCTCCAGGCCCCGCCAGACTCCCATTCGGGGAACACAAACGTGCGAGGCCGCTCGCAGGGCTTCAGAGGGGCACCAGGAAAGCGTGTGCCATTGCTCTCTCCTCACAGCTGAAGTCTACATCGGCATCGGGAAGCCTGCAGAAGCCACAGCCTGTACCCAGGAAGCTGCCAACCTCTTCCCAATGTCCCACAACGTCCTCTACATGCGTGGCCAGATTGCTGAGCTGCGGGGAAGCGTGGACGAGGCGCGGCGATGGTATGAGGAGGCCTTAGCCATCAGCCCCACCCACGTGAAGAGCATGCAGCGACTGGTGAGTCTGCAGGCCCGGCTATACCCTCACTCTGGCACGGGGACAGCCCTTGGAAGTGGCAGGTAGCACGTGACCCTCGCATCCTCTTCGGGTTCCAAAGGCTCCATGCAGTTAGCTTGGCAGGCCGTCACATGGCCTGAAGCCAGAGGGCACCACTTCTACCATAGCTGATGCCAGTGGCGCCCCTGGAGCTGGCTGTGCATCCCCTCAGCCCACCTGAGGTCCTGTGAGGTGCCATGGCCTCCTGGCCAGCAGTCTAAGCCACTCTGTGGCTCTGGGTTCAATAAAGACATCTTGTGGTCGCGGGGCATTGTCACTGCCATCTCGGCCTCTGCTCTGCTTGCAGTAGCCACCTTCGGGGGTTTCCACATCCCGGGGAGACTTCAAGGCCAAGAGGCAGAACACTTTACAAACTGGGAGGCTCTCTTCCCTTAAGGGAGCCTGAGACTCCAGCATGTCTCTGAAGCTACTGGCTGGGAGGGGGCATCCTACCGGGGGGTGGTGTCTGGCTGTGTTGTACTGAGCGGAGGGAGGCAGATGAGCCACCCCAGGGTCTGCTCTGTATGGGGGTGTGGCGGTGCTCCACGAGCACACGTTCTTCTGTAGCCCAGGCCAGAAGCCTGGGGTTGCCCTGCTGCCCCCGCCCTTTGCCATGGATCAGTCTTGAGAGATCCTGGAGCCGGCCACCTGGCCGTGTCGGCTTCAGTTAGGTGGGGAGACTGTTCACTCAGGAGGTTCTGTCTGTTGAGAACATACATTAGTGCAGCTGCCTCACAAGCCCTCTGTCATCTTCCTGCGAGGGTCTGAATTGAAACTCACAAGTTACCAAGGTCTGCGGAGCTGGTGAAAAGCCGTGCTGCGTTCTCTGGGCCTGCATGCTGAGCTTTGGTTCCGAACTGTTTCATTTTTAGCAGTAGACATCACTGATGTAATGAACCACAGGAAAGAAAAGCCTTGTGTTATTACAAAGCTCAGGGCCCTTTGTGTCTGCACCCATGGAGGCTTAGCACCCATAGTCAGGCGGTGGTGTGTGATATGGAAGAGTCAGCCCCGGACAGGGAGTCCGAGGACAGTTCTGGTCCCAGCGACATCAGTGGCTTGCTCTTTAACCTCAGGAGAGACCCCTAAGCCCTCAGCACCTCAGTGTCCTTTCTGCGAAATGAAGGCATTGGACTAGAAGGCTGTGTCTGTCCAACACTAATAGGATGTGGCTTTGTAACGAATAAGTAAAATGTTCCCCGAAGCATCCCAAAGCCTTCATTATCTTGCCATTTTAATGTTGCAAAATGTAGAAGGGGCTGGGTACTAACTGTTGGTTTCTTGTAGCAAATGCTGACACACTGGAAATTAGGTGCCGTGGAAAGAGTGTTCGTGTCAGTGCTTACAAGTTAGATCTGCGCTCAGACTAAGCCCTGGTCTGACTCCTGGGGAAGCTTGGACTTGTCACTTAACCTCGTCACTGTATCTAGGAGCCTTGGTGTGTTTCTGTGAATTGGGCTCCTACCCCAGTGGGTTGTGGCGAGAAAGAATGAAATGATTTTCATAATCATCCTAGCGGAGTTCCTGGACCTAGTAGGTGCTCATGAAATAGTAAACTGAAGACAGTCATTTTCAGTTTTAAAAATAAACCTTACCATAATTACAACTACTTAATTTTTTCTAATTTCCCATTGTGTTTTCTGTAACCACGCACGGATTTATAAATAATTTTACGTAGTGTCCAAACATTAGTCTGTTTGATTAAAAATACGGCACAGCTTTTAATTTTTGTCTCACTATTATAAGAGGAATTTGCAAAGAGCTTTTCAGATCTCTGTGCTTGCTGAGAGCATCCAGCAGAGGTGCAGTCCCCACCACGTCCCTAGGCGTTGTATTAAAAAGAGGCTGCATGTTTCCATCTCGGGGCCTATGAATTATTCAGGGAAGTATTTCTTGTTCATCCCCAAGGAGAACACATGAGACAAAAGATCAAATAGGAAAATCGCACCAGGAGAGTTTTCTGTTTCACCTTTGGAGCTTTTCAAGACACCTGAGACACCTGACAAATGCCAGATGCTTTCCTTTCTGAAAGGAGCAAGCAGTTGACCCAGCACCAGGGAGCTGGTGAGCGAGGCCGGGGCAACGACTGAGCCTTCCAAGGCCGGGAGACATGAGCTGCTTTGAAGGTCTTGCCAGCAGAAAGGGGTCGTAATAATGAACTACTAAAACCTCTCCCAGTGTGTCCTGAGATACTGAAAAACCATTCAGATTGAGGCAGATTGATAAGAATGAGACTACTGATTTTGAGTTTGGAGCCTCGCAGTCAGAAACTTTGCCTAGTGACCAATCAGTGTGACTCCCAAAGGGTGGCTTGAACATTCCTTCTTGGGCATCTTCTAAATGAGGCACCTGGCCTGTGTTCTCCCCAGCTTGCCTCCAAGAGCCCAGCCCACAGTGGGGGGAGCCCCACGCAGCCAAGGGCAGGTCCCCGTCCCACTGGTTCTGCAGGACCCTCTGGTGCCTGTAGAGGGGCAGCTACCAGACCCCACAGGCTCTTCTTCATCCCTGAGACATCACACTCCCTCTCTGTCCTCTGCCCTATAGCTACACAGCAAAGCTGTGTTTCTGTGGCTTTGGATGGAAGGGATGAAGGGGCCTTCACATCTATGCTAGAGGCCCAGGAGGAGGCCCCAGAGCCAGGCTGGCTCGGGTGAGAATCATAGCTCTGGCCCCTCATTCGCTCTGGGGCCTTGGCAGGTTATTCACCCTCTTGATGCCCCATTTTCCTCGGCTGTCTAAATGGGGATAATATTCGCACCAGTACATCACAGAGACAGATTAAACCCAAGAACTGACATCTCTTGCTAAGTCACAAAAGGTTCTGTCACTACCCTCACAGAAGGCGGGTTGGTTTGCAGGCCCCCGAGTTAAGAGGAAGGTGTCAGCAGGGAGATGAGAGGCTGTCTTACCAGGTCAAGCCCCAGGAAGGAGGCAAGGCCCCTGACCTGTGTGGCAGAGGGCAGCGGAAACAGAGCTGAGCGTTGACAGTTGCCTGGCACACAGGAAGAGCAGCAAGGGGGCAGCCAGCAAGGCCTGCCCCAGGCCAGGCAGGCCAGGGTCAGAAGGTCAAAACTAGAAGGAGTTTGAAGAACAGAGCCCCAGGGAGCATCAAAGAGCCAGCCATGGAGGCTCCAAGGGAAGGAGCCAACTGTGAGACAGGTCGTGGGTCATGGAAAAAAACCCAGAGGGTGGAAAGTGCTTGCAGCAGCCCCGATGCTCAGAGAGGAAGGCACAGAGCCAGCAGTCAAGGAGGCTGCTGGGAAGAAGGAAACCTCGTTGTCTGTCACAGGTGGTGGTCAGGCGGCTGCTGGTGATGGCAGAGAACAGTTATGCTGGGAGCTGTAAGTGGCAGCAGGCACCAGATCACCAGCTTGCGAGAGGCCTACGGCTTAAGCAGAAATACAAACCCGTTAGTATTGTTAAAAAGCAAGAATGGGGCCAGGCGGGGTGGCACACACCTGTAATCCCAGCACTTTGGGAGGCTGAGGTGGGCAGATCAAGAGATCAGGAGATCGAGACCATCCTGGCTAACTTGGTGAAACCCTGTTTCTACTAAAATACAAAAAAACATGAGCTGGGTGTGGTGGCACATGCCTGTATTCCTAGCTACTCCGGAGGCTGAGGCAGGGGAATCGCCTGAATCTGGGAGGCAGAGATTGCAGTGAGCTGAGATCAGGCCACTGCACTCCAGCGACAGAGAGACTCCATCTCAAAAAAAAAAAAAAGGGAAGAAAGACTTTAGTATTCATGAACAGTAGATTGGAGGTCAGACTTGACAAGAGAAATGTAAATTCAACCCCAGAGGAAACTGACAGTCTTCTAATCGTTTTAGCCTTCAGGTATGTGTTTAAATTCATATATAGTGAGAAGGGAACAGAGAAATCATGTGTTTATTAGCAATAACGAGTTAGCACAAGACAGGGGAGGCAGAGATTATTGAGGACGGGCAGGTATTCAGGGAGCAACACGCTAGAGGAATAAGGAGTGACAAAGCAATGTTGTTGACAAGGGGAGGAATTCAGAGAGTGACCAGACTTTTTCCAGAAAATCTAAAGGCATATTTTTATATTATTTTTGCATAAGTGTATAAATTTACATTTATTCGTGTGCTATGTTAAAAAGCCTTTAGCTCCCAGTATGCAAAATGAATGAACAAAACAGAGCAACTTTTTGCAAACCAGTTATTCTATGTTCTGGGGTGGGGGAGAGGAGAGAAGTGTGGCTCATAGTGGTCCGAGGAGCCGAGAACCAGCATCCCTGGACAGTCGTTCTGAGGCCAAGGACGGAATCACCAGGACAGGGACATACTGTGCAAACAGGGACATCTAGTTGCCCTCTGATAATGTCAGCCGGGGCTTTTGAGGGCAAGTGTGAGATTGGAAAGTAAGAAGGGAACGAGGGCTTTCAGGAGAGAAAAGAACGTGGAAGGGAGCCAAGGAGGTTGCGTGGAGGGGAGCTGATAAGGCTGGGAGGGGAAGTGTTGCTGGGGAACAAATGTGTGCTGGAGAATATTAAAGGAGCCTCAGGTCCGCCTCCAGTCCCTTTGACAGGCGAGAAAAGGTGTGAAGCAGTAGCAGATGGTGGGGGTCAGCCAGGGCTTGGCGGCATGGACAGCAAGGGGAGTGAGGTGAGGTGAGGCAGCTTCAAAGAGGCCTGTGAGCCGAGAGGGACCAGGAGCCAGAGAGAGACCATGCCCTGAGAACCATGGGAAGGGCATCAGGGGACAGCAGTGAGATGGAGCCCCCCCTACCCCCCGCAGTGGGGAATGAGGAGAACTGCGGGATGAGCATCCCCAAGGCTAGGACAGAAGGCCATGATATTTCACAGCCTATGCTGAGAAGCCACAAAATCTAGATTAAAAGCATGAAGGGGCCATCCCCTTAAATGAAGCTTCTAGGACAAGGCTGAGGGCCTGGAAAGAGACAGAAAGCCATCGGCCCTGTGCAAGGAAATGGCAGAGG